GATTTGAAACCTTTGAGGGGATCTTAAACACTGACAGAAAGTAAACARGAAGGTTAGCTAGGGTAGATCTAATGAGAGAGACTCTTCCACCTAAAGAAAGATAACTCCTCTTCCAGGCCGCTAGCCTCTTCTCAAACCTCTCCACTACCGGAGCCTAAAAGCTAACACTCTTAGGATTATCTCCTAAAGGGAGGCCCAAATAAGTCAGGGGCCAATCCGTAATAGCACAACCTAGCTCATCTGCAGATTCCCTTAGGTCTCTTTCGTTCACATTCACTCCCGCTACACAACTCTTGTCAAAGTTTACCTTGAGGTTAGATATCTGCTCAAAAAGTTGTATTGTCAACTTTGGATTCCGGATCCAACTGAGGTTCCCTCCTTCACAGAAAAGGATAGTATCATCTGCAAACTGTAGAAGAGTTTAAGGGAACCTCCTCCCTTCCTACTCTCCACCCTCTTATCAGATTCCTCGAGTTTGCTCTATGGATCAATCGCCCAAACACATCAACAATAAGGGTGAAAAGAAAAGGGGAAATAGGATCTCCTTGTCTTAGACCTCTCAACACCGGAAAGAAGTCAACCACAGTCCCGTTCACCAGGATAGAATAATGGCAAGTCCTAACACAGCCCCAGATCCACTTGCACCACCTGTCACCAAAACCAAAATTCCTCAACACCTCCATCAAGAAAGACCAATCAACCAAGTCGAAAGCCTTCTCCAAATCCAATTTGCCAACCACTCCCTTCTTCTTTGACTTTCTAAAGCTCTCCAAGCTCTCATTTGCAATGAGGATCTGATCGATGATCTGTCTTCCCTCCACAAAAGCACTTTGGTTGGGTGCAATAATAGAGGGGAGCACCTTCATTATCCTGAGAGACAACACCTTTGCAATGATTTTGTACAAGCTAGTCACTAGACTAATAGGTCTAAAATCTTTTGGATGAGAAGCATCTTTCTTCTTTGGGACTAAGGCAATGAAAGTTGAGTTCAAGCCCGGGCTTATTACACCCCTCCTATGGAACTCCTCAAAAACCGATGTAAGATCATTCTCCAAAACATCCCAACAATCATGGTAAAAGGCCATTGTGAACCCATCTGGACCCGGAGCTTTTGTCCTATCCATAGAGAATACTGCTTCCTTTACCTCCTCCATATCGAACATTTTTTCTAACCACTCTCTCTTCTCTACACTTAGAGTCGGCCAATCCAAACCCTCCAACCACACTCTCATTCATAGGCCTTCTAAAAATAGATTTGAAGTGGTTTACTAGGGCCTCTGCAATTTCAGCCGGGTGAGACAAAACTGCTCCATCAACTTCCAAGTTAGAGATGTAATTCTTCTTTCTCCTTCCATTTGCCACTGAATGGAAAAACCTTGTGTTTCTGTCTCTCTCCTTTAGCCACTTACACCTAGATTTTTGCCTCCAACTAATTTCCTCCTTAATCAGGATGTCCTCCATCTGCCACCTTAAAACCCATCTCAACTTCCTTTCTTCCTCTCCAAAGGGGCCTCTCTCTTCCTTCAAGTCCAAATCCTCGATTTGCTCCACCAGAACTTGCTTTCTCTCTTCTAATCTTCCAAACTCCCGCCTATATCCACTCCTTTAATTGAGATTTTAGGTATTGGAGTTTCTTGTGGAACCTCATTCCCTCCCAATCAACTACCGGATTAGCTTGCTCCCACCACTCTTATTTTCTCAGTGAAACCCGGATGAGTCAACCACATATTTTCAAACTTTAAAGGGGTAGGCCCTACTCCTCTTAATTCCTCCTTGACCAAAACTATTGGCCAGTGGTCTGAAGTAAGTCTAGGAAGAGCCCATAACATGTGAAAAGCATTGTATGAGTGAAGTGAGGGCTAAAATTGTCATTTGTGTCAATATAAGCACTTATGGGGAAAGTAGCTTACCAAACATCCCCACCCCAATAAGTGCTTAAAAACATAATAAGTGATTTGGAAAGTGGGTTACCAAACAACCTTAAGTGGTTGTTAAAATAAGTACTTCTAAGAAGTACTTGTGTTAACAAGTACTTAATCATCAAACAGGGCCTAAGAGTCTCTTATCAAAAATTCTAATTATAAAAAAAAACGGGAAAAAATTCTCTCCTTGATCTTGCAATTTATTTTTATTCCCCCAAGTAAATATATTTTGGTAGGTAAAGAAAAAATTTTATTGGTATACATAAAGAATGCTATTTACAATAGTGAGGCATCTTTAGTTAGGCAAGCCTGCTGCCTAACCCCCTTTCTACTGTTAATTTACGATCACAATTTAACCCCCAATACAGCTGTTTCCTGTTTTTTTTCTTGGTCAGCAAAATGATGATTTTATTCAATTAAGAGAATACATAGAGTTACAACAGATAGAACACAGACATTTCAACAGAAACTTTTACAATAAAGCCCCCAAAAAAGTTGTTGCCTTTGAACTCCTTGTTTAGCTAAAGAATCAGCCATTCCATTTGCAGTTCTCCTAATCCATGTGAACAAGGCATTAAGTTCCCTTGCTATGCTTATTATCTCCCTTAACGGATGCCTGTAGCACCACGGAACATTACTGCTTGAATTGGTCCAAGATATCACTGTTTTTGAGTCCACTTATATCTCCAAATTCTTAAGATCAGCTTGTTTGGCAATCTTTAGCCCTTGAAGCAAAGCTAACAGTTCAGCTTTTAGAGAGTCACCTTCCCCTAGGGGTCCCGAGTACATAGCCAACACCTTGCTTGATGAATCTCTGATTATGCCACCAATACAGCTGTTTCCTGTTTAAACCCTGTCCAGCTAGTGAGCCTGCCAAGCCATTTTTTCTGACTATTGATCAATTTCCAAGCCACCACTAAACCCTAGCTAGCTGCCTAGCTTGCCTCAAAGTGTGTTGAAGTTACAATGTGCCAATGATATGCAGATTTATTGGTAATCATTGACACCAAGATAGTCTTTTTTCATAACTAACAGAAATAATTTCATTAATTAAAACACCAAACAGCTCAAACAATGAATAGCAGGCCTGCAAAATACACTGTAATGCATGGACAGAAAAACAACTCAAACATCTCAAGCCAATGCTTTACAGATTACAGCCCAGCCCTGGGAAACCCCATTCTAAATTTTCTTTCCCCACTCCAAGTCTTGCTAAGGAGTCTGCTAGCATGTTTGCACATCTAGGAACCCATTTGAATGAGGTGTTCACAGAGGGGCACCTAAGGAAACACCCAACCTCACTATCCTTGAACTCCCATGGTGTTTGCTTGTGTGCCTTCATCCAGCAAATAACACTTTGATAGTCCCCCCTACTATCACATCCCACAACCCCATCTGCTGGCTGCTGCATCAATTTTAAACCTTGAATTAAAGCTAACAGTTCTGCTCTTGTGATTTACCCTGACCCACTGGGCCTGAAAAGCTGAGGATAGTACTACCCCACTGATTTCTTACAACACCTCCCACACAAGATGATACCGGGCGTCCAAGGCAGTACCTGTCAAAGTTGAACTTAATCAAACCTGCTTCAGGAGGACTCCATTCCAGCACCCTTTGCTGTTTGCTTATTTCAAAACCCAGCCACTGTTTATCACTCCTTTAGGAGATCATTGAGAGGCAGTGATCTATTTTTTATTGGGTTAATGTCGTTTTTGAATTTACCGGGCTGGCACCAATTTCCTACTTAGCTGTGGATTTAGGCCAAACATTGTATTTACTGGTTCCTTTTGATGGATGAATCTCTTTTGGAAACATACACAGCTAATGCACTCCAGTTATGCTCCAAAGCTTTAAATCCAATGGTCCAATCCAACTCCACTCTTAACCCACCTCAAAATCTAGTGACTTAAATGCTTACCTTATCGTCCCTACCCTAATTACATCACATTTACCTATATAACCCATACTTTTTTTTCTTAGGTTAAAAACAATCACCTTTTTCAAGAACTAGATTTCACTCTACATAAAGCCATACTGTTGAATTTATTGACAAACAAGGGGAAATAAGAATCTATATCTCAAGTGAAAAAGAAGACAAAAGAACACCAAGATAAAAAGATAGAATAGAAGAGCAAATAGGCACAAGAGTACTCATGGAAAAAGAGGCCACACCCTCCATAGAGAGAGAGAGAGAAGAAAATAAATATACAAAACAAAAAGGAAGGGTCTAAAAAATAACTGCCAAATGAGACTACACTGCTCATTGGTGTACTTAAGGGCCATTGGAGTAGGAAACTCTACCAGAACTCTACCAGAGTTCAGATGTTCCTTAAATCCCTAAATGCTAGAGGTGGAGGGAGATTCACATATTGGTAATGGGTCAGTTCAACCATGATGATGGTGGGGATCCAGACCCTTGAATATATAGAAATATTCTCAAAGAGGCTCATAAGGAGTCACAATGGCCAATCCAGCCTATTGGGCCCAGCCTAGAGTTATGGCGAGGTTGGACCTAGGTTTTTGCACCAAAGACTGCCCCAGCCCCAACTACCCAACTATAGGCCCAGTCAAGTTCAGCCCAGGCTAGGCCAGAGATATGAAGTCTTAATAGGCCTGAACCAGCTAGTTATGTATATATGGTACATTTTTTGCATTTGTGTGCAAACAAAACCATTAGAGTTGCTAGAATTCAGATTTTCAAGCTGGTAATCTTCATTCCACCCAAGTTGTACCACACTAGGTAGACAACATAATGTAGAGGGACATTAGTGGAAATTCAAAATGTTTTCTACTGTTTGGCTAATCCAGCTGGTTGTGCCCGACCAAACAATTGGTTTTTATCTGATAGAGACTCAAGAAATTTGCATCAAATCTGGATGGCATCATAAATTTCCCTAATTCAAAATAACGATAACTCCTGCTCTTAGAAAGAAAGTGTGGGTTCAAATCCAACTCCTGACAAAGTTTGAAACTTTATTCCTCAAAAAAAAAAATGATGATGACTCTTCTATGAGTTTAAATTTAGCTTTAACTCATTCTATCATGAAGCTTTGAATCTTAAGCTTTAGAGGGCAACTTTAGAACATATTCTTTTGTCTATAACCTTAGTCTCTTAACTTTGTTTAATGATTTCGAACAAGATAACAATTTAAAAAGGCGTGCCTTTGCTTCTTTTATCATTTCATAAAATATCATTCTATATTTTGAATATTTTACTATGTCCCCACCATGCCTATAATTTTTACAATATTTTCATACAATACTTTGCATTTCTGACATGTTTCTTATATTTGGACGACCAACATCGACATTTTAAACCTTGAATTCTATAATGTTTAGAGTTAACATGCATAACAATATCAAAATGAAGTATGAATAAGTTAAATCAACAAAAAAAACAGCATGTTTATTCAAAACTTAAAGAGACACTGAGGCAGTTTCACACCTTGGTTCTTTAACATCGGCCTTAAGTTGTACGTGCTGTCCCCTGTCTAATGGAATTACTTTTGTAACCTCACTTGCCAAAACACGAGCCTCTCCAGAGCAAAATGAGACAATTAGATTGTCCCTGTCTTGGACACTCTGAACAAAACCAACACTCTTATGTCTAGCACCTTGCCATCCATATGTAGGTGTCTTGATGATTCTCTTGAACTTCACCCAATCACCTATCTCATATCTAAAAACCAAGGAATAAAACAAATCAAATATAAAATCATAAAAAAGTGCCATTCCTTCAGGAGCCAAAATGTAATGTAAAAAATTGCTAAACTCAAAGGAGAATAGATCAGCAGTAACAGAAGAAAAAGCATTCTTACATTGTAGGTGACAGATGTATCCCCTTATTTGTGAGCGCCTCCATCAGATCTTCTGAAATCCATTCACGTGGCAAGGCTTCCAAAAAGTCTCGTAATGTCTTACCACTGTTCCCACGAAAAGTAAATCAAATGAGTTATAATATTATAACTCGCTGCTGCATTTGTCAGCAATATTGAAGCTCTTCATTAACAACTAATACAAACCAAGACCAGAATCTCATGATATTCCATGTAATATCCAACAAGCTTAGAAATCTACTAGGTGGTACATGCCTGTGGTTTCTGACTTCTAAAGCAGCATCTGGATACTGAAGCATAACAACAATCCATTCAAGATTTTCACGTATCATTTTTGCTGCATCAGCTGCTATATGAAATGCATTGTCACCTTCGTCATCCTGATCACAATGAGAAAAGGTATTACATTAAGAGGGTGAAAGAAGAGAGAATTAATTCAACTAAAGTGGCATGGAAGATGAACACAAGAAAGTTAACATCCACAGCAATTAGCCATCACAAATGAAACCAACTTGCTACAGCCAAAGGGCTTTATGATTTTCCATATGACATTAAGAGACAAGAATATTTCCTTGGCAAAGCCCTCAGATGAGTAGTTAACTCCAATGAGTGGTTCTTTACATTCTCAGAGAAAAATAAAAAAAATTGCAGTAGTTAACTCCACTCTCAAAAGTACTCACTTAAGACACGTGGCTACCTATAAAAAAAAAAAAAAAAAAAAAAAAAAATCCTACCCACTTAAAATGATGTGGGCCCATACTAAAATTTCTAACTCAGTTTTCTAATTCAAATAAAAGGCTCACCATAAAGACTTTCAATGGTATGAGTCCCATGCTTCAAATGAAATAGGTCATCAATTACAAATTAAACCTCATTTAATTTCATAATTAAATAAGAAACCAAAATCATATTAATCTCAAACAAAATAATAGGCATAGTTTTGCTGCACTTAGTATAGAGTGATCACTACCTATGATACATGAAAAATCAAGAACAGTCTGAAATAAATAGGTATAAAATAATGAAAATTTTCTGATCATATTTCATTTACTTAAGATAATTGCATACATTATCTCTAGGATTTTAATATATAAAAAACAGAAGGATGCCCTGAATAACCACAGTAGTGTCTCTTGTTGGGAATAATGAGAGAAGGGAGAAAAGAAGATAGACAAGTAAAGACAGAACTAGGAGAGATCATTTTGATCTAACAATATTTATAGTATAACAGGATCTGATAAAAGGCACCACAAGAAGCTGAGTTTAGGAGTAGGGAGATCAAACTAACAAGATTGTAGACAAGAATCCAAAAAAAAAAAAAATCGAAACACCAAATAAAAACTGAATCAAGGATGATGAACAAAAAATATTGCATTTGTAATAAAATAACTCAAAAAGAACAGTCACAAAAGATCTTAAGTTGATTAATAGATCCAATCCTTTTCTACAAGAAATTCTGGGAACTAATTAAAACAGAACTGTTGAAAGTTTTGGAGGAGTTTCATGAATTGGCTGCTTTAGAGAGAAGTCTGAATGCCACTTTCCTATCTCTGATCCCTAAGAAAAGTGGAGCTAAAGAGATGAAGGATTTTAGGCCATTAAACCTGATTGGTAGTGTATACAAAATCCTAGCCAAAGTACTGGCAACAAGGCTAAGAGCTGTGATGGAATCTCTGATTTCACCTCACCAAGGTGCCTTTGTTCATAATAAACAATTCATGATGGAGTTCTTATTGCAAATGAATTAATTGACTCCAGGTTAAGAAGTGGGAGGAAAGAGCTGATTTGCAAAATTGACTTAGAAAAAGCCTACGATCATGTTAATTGGGCATTCTTAGACTATATGCTGGATAGGATGCATTTTGGTTCAAAATGGAGGAGCTGGATTAAAGTCTGTATCTCAACCTCAAGGTTTTCATTAATAATAAATGGGTCGGTAAAAGGAAACTTCACAAGCTCAAGAGGGCTGAGACAGGGAGACCCGTTACCACCCCTGCATTTTCTAGTTGTGATGGAAGGCCTAAGTAAACTGGTGGGAAGGGCTTCAGATTTGGAGTTTCTAGATGGTTTTGAAGTAAGGCCCAAAAGGACCAAAATCCCCATGTTACAATATGCAGATGATACACTCCTTTTCTGCAATGCTTCAGAGGATCAAATTATAAACCTGAAATATCTACTGTTCTGGTTTGTGATTATTACAGGCCTGAAGGTGACAAAAAGTGAAATAATAGTGGGGGAAGTCCCTAATGTTCATGATTTGGCTGAGCTATTGGGATGCAAAGTGGGAAGCCTGCCCTCAAGTTACTTGGGTCTGCCCCTTAGAGCTAAATGTACTTCCAAAGCTATTTGGGTAACAGTTCTAAAAAGGATGGATAAAAAATTGTCAACTTGGAAGTCAAGGTACCTCTCTAAAGGTGGAAATGTCACACTGATCAAAAGTGTATTAGGTAAGTCTTCCAACTTACCTACCCATTCGAGGTGGCAAAGGAAATGGAGAAAAAGATGAGAAACTTTCTTTGGAAAGGCTGGAAAGAGACTCACAAGTATCATTTAGTGAGCTGGGACCAAATCTGCAAACCACAATCACTAGGTGGTTTAGGGTTAAGACATTTGAAGTTGTTCAACATAGCTTTATTGGGAAGTTGGCTGTGGAGATTCTCAACTGAACCAAATAATCTGTGGAGAAAAGTGATAGAGGAGAAGTATGGCCTAAGGAACAATGGGTGGGATGCTGGACCACCCCCTCAAACCTATGGTTCTGGTCAGACCACTGGATTGGTGACAGGCCCCTAAAGAGATGTTTCCTGATTTATACAATGTGGCCTTAGACAAAGAAGCCTTAGTGGCAGACCCATTCAGACTTCAGGAGAATAGCATGTGTTGGACTCCCTCATTTAGGAGTTTGAATGACTGGGAAATTCAGCAGGTTGCTGACCTTCTCTCTCTGTTACAAAGCCAGCAACTAAATCTCCATTCCCAAGACACAAAAATATGGAAAGGGACCAAAACTGGAGTTTTTCACAGTTAAATCCTTCTATTATAAGCTAGTGAGGACTGAATCTCCTTTTCCTAGTCAGGCCATTTGGAGCAAGGTTCAAAGTATCAACACGTATCGGCCCATATCGGCCGATACGTATCGTATTAGGAGCACCCCGATACACCCCTACCAGGGGGTGGAGGAGCCTTAAACCACCCCCCTGAACCGGTTTTGAAAAAAAGTTAAAAAAAAAAGTACTGGTACCGCCCAATACGCCCCTACTGGTGTATCGGGCGTAATGATATTTAGAACCTTGATTTGGGGGAATCTAGCTCCTACAAAAATTAAGTTCTTTGTTTGGGTTGCAGCTTTGGAGAGATGTTTGTCTAAGGAAATGTTGATAAAAAAAGGAATGAGTATTCCAGATATCAGGTGCTGTCTATGTAATGAGAAGGTGGAGTCAGTTGGACATCTCTTCCTATATTGTAAGTTTAGTACTACAGTATGGAGCCACTTTTTGAAATCCCTGAATCTGAACGGGTGCATGCCAGAATCAGTTAAAGCTCTTCTGGAAGAATAGCAGATTTCTGGACTTTCCAAAAAAGGGAGACTTTGCTGGGCTTCTGTTCCTCCAGCAGTGCTATGGGCTGTGTGGTCAGAAAGAAATAGAAGGCTGTTTGAGAAGAAATCCTCTTCTGAAGCCGAGGTCATTAATTTAGTCATAGATGCCATTAGGAGCTGGTTGTCAATACATTCTGATTTCAAAGATGTTACTTCTGATCATACTTTTTTGAGAGTGGACTTTTTTTGAGGTCCTTTTTTGTACAGATTCTTGTTGTACAAAGGACCAGTTACTAATATAATCATAAAAAAATATCCAATCACTATCAACATTATCATTGTGAGTCTTTTTCTTGTTGCTCTGATGCCATTTGTTGTGAATAATATCACATGTCAACTATTAACTCATTATATAACATTACAAGAAAACCCCCGATGAAACTGATATGACATTAGAGTTTCTGAGTACAAAAAAAGGCCATTATCCATTTTTTATGGTAGATAAACTGAAATTTCATTGCAAACTGAGACAAAGCAAATACAGACAGATACCTACTACCCAATGTTGGTCCCAGCTATCAGGGGTCTTGGGAGGGGTAGACTGGATATGGTCCTAACCTTTGAAAAAACTATGCTGCTGGAAAGACATCATACAGAAAGGGTGATGTGGACACAAAAACAAATTACATGCAGCACTTCAAGTGTACAGCAATAAGCACAAGAAATACCAAACTGGAAACAACAAAACAAGTTGCATTTTTAGGGATTTCAGACCTGAACCTAAGGTAGAACTCCTTCTGAAACAGTTCCGCTACAGTAACAATAGCATCAAGCTGGCCTCCCATGCAGACACGCAGTCATAGAAGGATGGAAAGGTGCCAAAATGGGTCGACTCCTCAAAACCCAAACTCCCAATACTTGAAAACACTAGTTGGGACTGAGCTACAGATCAAACAAAAAAGAAAGAACTAAAAGACCCCTACAGAAATAACCCCCTTCTCTTTTATAAAGACTCAACGCTTGCTGGAGAAGCCAATTAAAATATTTAAAAATGTGCCCCTAGAATGTTTCCCTTTCCAAGCAACTCCTTAAGAACAAAGTTAACTTCAAACAAACCCCCAAAAGATAACTTTTGTTACAAAAAGACCTAAGAGACCAAAACCCAACAGATGTGCACCCAACTACCCCTGACCAGAATCTGAATTATAAAATGACGAAAATACACCTGGACCCAAATTGTCAACAAAGCTACCCAAAAACAACAATTTGGGATCCTACTACAAAAAAAAACATGCAAAACAGAATACATTCACATTTTTTCTTTTTCTTTCTTTTCTTTTTTTGGCCTCACCAAAGGGTTTTGACCAATCAAAACCCCCTGTGATTTTTGATAAACACCACCTGATTGATTACCTCTTTTATGATACCGAATGAGAGGTTACAAGTTCCCGGTATCATAACCTAGGAATGGCAATTTTGTGGGAATTTTAGGGTACCCAACCCTAATAGGACCCATTTATCAAAACCCAAACCCAAACCTAATTTCAAACTCATCTATCTATATATATATATATTCATTAAAAAAATCGGGTCCCTAAAAACACCTGCAAATAGGTGTATCAGGTACCTAAAGATACAATACGATACGCCCGATACAGGGCATGTATTGTATTGATACTTTGAACCTTGATTGGAAAAAGGGTTAACAGAGGAAGCAAACCCTTGCCCTTGTATCCCATTATAGACATCTTTAGCACTGGCCTACCACACCATTTTTACTTAGAGGAGCATCACATTTTATTTATGTGATGTAAAATTGGGTGCAAGGTTCAAAGTATCAAA